GACGCCGAATCAATATTTATAGAAATAAATAAGCCAAGCTTGGTCAGATATGCACAGATGCAGCTCAGTTGCAGATATTTCCTGTTTTTGCTTAAAAATTCAGAGCCAATATTAAATGTACCTGTTTTTAGAGGGAATAAATCATTGTGTTCTAAATTTCATGATCTTATAATGGAAAAAGGCCATTTTATATAATGGAAGAATGGCTTTAGTTTTCTGAGATAGAAACTGTTGACTACAGATTAATTTAAATATAATAAATTAATTTTTCAACCTACTAATTTATTAACATTCTCCCAAATATATACACAACATAATGTTTTACAGCATTTTCCCCTCATTTCCAATTTTACACTAAAAAGAAATGCATGATAAAAAAATGTGGTCAAAACACACATGAGATTCCAGTCATATTAATGACTCAGTTGTTTTAATTTTACACAATAGTGGCCATGTTGAGATCACATGAATGAATACTATTATACCACATGAATGAATACTACTACGGTTGCAACAAGGGTATTTCTACAATATGATCTGAAACCGTAAACATCCATGCCAATTGGACATAAACCAATTGACAACTACCAATAAAGAAAATACAGAAGTGCACCTGCAATCACAAGGTAAAAGAGTAAAATGTAATGTTTATTGGTTGAACTTATGTAAAGGAAAATATTTAAATCTTGACACTTCCCTAACATTTAAGACGTTCTTCATTATGCCTATTTTGTTCTTCCCACCAGAGAGCACTGATTAAAAAAATGTTGGCCACACACATTAGACCCAACAAATTATGATTAAAAAAACTTTGAACTTCAAAACAAAACAAGCAGAGCTTTCTGAACTGCTAGAGAAAGGGTGCCAGATTTCAGACTTCTCTGTTAGCACACTCTATAGGGGAGGTGAAGAGGCATCTGTGCAAAGCATGGAGTTACTTTTCAAAACAGAGCCCCCAATCTGTACATCTGTATACCATAACACTCCTAAAAGCTGCACACACTTAATCTATTTTCTGTGAAGGAGCATGACAATCTAAAGACATTTTGGCTCCCCCTGCAGGTGAACCTGAGTTTCGCTATGTGGCCGGTATGCATGGGAACGAAGTGCTCGGCAGGGAACTACTGCTCAACCTAATGGAGTACATATGCCATGAGTACAAACGTGGAAATCAGCGCATTGTTCACCTAGTCAAAGAGACACGTATCCATCTCCTGCCCTCGATGAACCCTGATGGCTATGAAATGGCTTACAAGAAGGTAGAGTGGGGAAAGCTATGGATATTCTGCTGTTTCCAAAATTATTCTCCATTAACACACTACAGTACTAATCAAAGGTTTGGGGTCGGTAAGATTTTTTAAATGTTTTTGAAAGAAGTCTTATGCTCACCAAGGCTGCATTTATTTGATCTTAAAAGAAAAACTTACTGACCACAAACTTTGAAAGGTAATGTACATGTTAATAAGATGATTCAAATCATATCATCATCAAGCCATTACATACTAAATAACCTTTAGAAATAATCTTTGTGCTTTTTAAATTTTTTATCATTCACTAACAAGCTCATTTAGTCAGTGACTTCATAACGCCTGTGTTTTGTGAACACGCTTTGTTTTACAGGGTTCAGAGCTGGTCGGGTGGTCACGGGGTCGCTATAGTTATGAGGGCATTGACATGAATCACAACTTTGCAGATCTGAACACAGTGATGTGGGATGCCATAGAGCTGGAAACAGACAAATCTAAACTAATCAATCACTACTTTCCCATTCCAGAGTACTATACTTCAGAAGATGCTATGGTATGAGGTCTCACTGATTAAAACAAGCACCCCTCTCATCTTTAAATGGCTTCAAATGATAATTCTCAGACGATTTTCAATAAACCATTATTTTGGTCTTATATTTAAGGTGGCTCCAGAAACGAGAGCCGTCATCAGTTGGATGCAAACTATACCTTTTGTTCTCAGCGCTAACCTCCATGGAGGAGAGCTTGTGGTCACATACCCATTCGATATGACCAAAGACTGGGCTCCCAAAGAGCACACTCCCACCCCCGATGAAAGCTTCTTCCGCTGGCTGGCCACGGTTTATGCGAGCACCAACCATGTGATGTCCAACCCAGACCGAAGGCCCTGTCACAATGAGGACTTCCTTCGTTACAACAACATTATTAACGGAGCAAACTGGCATACGGTGCCAGGCAGTAAGTGCTGCTGCTTTTGAGATCATAAAGGAACTCAATCTTTGCTGATAAAATATATGTAAAATATGCAAAAAAGAGGCCTGTATCAAATGTTTTCTGTGTTATTATGAGAGGGTTACACCCACTCTCTCCTATATATATATAATCTACATACAATAAAGGTACTAAATATATATATATATATATATATATATACACACATACATACATACATACACACACAGGTGCATCTCAATAAATTAGAATGTCATGGAAAAGTTAATTTATTTCAGTAATTCAACTCAAATTGTGAAACTCGTGTATTAAATAAATTCAATGCACACAGACTGAAGTAGTTTAAATCTTTGGTTCTTTTAATTGTGATGATTTTGGCTCACATTTAACAAAAACCCACCAATTCACTATCTCAACAAATTAGAATACTTCATAAGACCAATTTTTAAAAAAAAACATTTTTAGTGAATTGTTGGCCTTCTGGAAAGTATGTTCATTTATTGTACTAAATACTAGGTAGGGGCTCCTTTTGCTTTAATTACTGCCTCAATTCGGCATGGCATGGTGGTGATCAGTTTGTGGCACTGCTGAGGTGGTATGGAAGCCCAGGTTTCTTTGACAGTGGCCTTCAGCTCATCTGCATTTTTTGGTCTCTTGTTTCTCATTTTCCTCTTGACAATACCCCATAGATTCTCTATGGGGTTCAGGTCTGGTGAGTTTGCTGGCCAATCAAGCACACCAACACCAT